ATAAATTTGTTAGTCTCTAAGGTGCCACAAGTACTCCTGTTCTTCTTATTTCATTTAGAGAGTTTTTTGTGCCACCCAACACTGGTGATTTTTTTTTCTGGAGTGCTATATTACTGTATGTAAAACAACAGTTTTCAGCTGGACTGTTAAAGGTGCAGCATGAATATAGACCTGCCTGTTTCTTCCACCAGAAAATTCCCACCATTATTTAGAGCCTTGTTTTCTTGATTGGTAACTTCATTTGAGTTTTCCAAACTGAATCACTAGCACCTCTAGTGTTGAGGTTTTAAAACTGTGTAAAAGTTTTGATGTTTTATCTTTGTAGTAGATAACTAACATGGACATTCATAGTATTACGCACATTTTTTCTCCTTTTAAAATATAATTTCCTCTTAACAACTGAAGACTGCAAAATGACTAAATTTCAAAAAGCTCATTTTTGTTTTAAGAACTCTCCTTAAATTGTTCTTCATAGATTACTGTATTTTTAGGGGAAATTAATTTTTATAGCCATTAAACTGTACTCATTATTTTTGTACTTGTGCAACTAGGGACATTTTGGGACACAAATCTTGAAGGGAACACTTAATTCTTTGCTGTTTTGATTCTTCCTATATGCTGGAGTTGTACTGCTAAGTACTACTACTGGAAGCAATATCTTGATGTGCAATGGAGGTGAGAGAAGAATGCAAAAAAGTGAATGAGGTTTGAATAAAAATTAATTGCTGGAGGCAAAAGGATATTGCAAAAGCGACACTGTAACCTTCATATTCACTTCTTTATACATCGTAAAGCAGCTGGAAGAAAAAATAGGTGTAAAATATTAAATGCAACATGGGAATCCGTACTGTAAGCTAACCGTGCCAATATTGCTTCAGTTTGTAGGCTTTATTGATTGGTATTTTAGTTTTAGATCAAAACAGCTTTTGATTAGAAAGAAAAAGTTGAATGTCTGAAAATCTGCAACATGTTTATTTGAGAGATGTAAATAATGTATACAGATTGCTGTATGTGATGGGATGAAAAAATATTTAAATTCTAGGTTTTTTCAGTAAGAAACTGAATGCTGTTTATAAGAAAAATAATAAATAGCTATGTTTGACCATGATTGTCTTTTTTCTTCCCAGACTTATATTTCTGATTTGTAGATAGAACTCAGTTATATAGCTGCGTATTGTACACACATGAACGTTCCACCTACAAATTAGATTTTTGTAATTACCCCACTTGAATTTGTGAATATTTGTATTACAGGCAGACCCAATAGCAATAAAAGAACCTGATGTCCTCTCCTTTCCTTATTTCATGGTTTGAAATGGTAACTTAGAAAAAGTGGGAGAAACCCGAAATGCAAATTGGACGCAGCACAGTACCACTTGATAAGACTTACTCGCCCATTATCTGAAGTGTTGGCATCTCTACTGGGGTCATTTTGAAAGCTTTGTTTCATACAGATTGTCATTTAAATCATAGCCATGCATTTTATACAAATTAGAACAATACACATTCCCAAGAGGTATTCCGTTTGTGCACTAATCTGAGATTTAAGATTTTACTTTTCATAACACCTCTACTCCATGCAAGCCACATCGCCTCCCCTCTGCCCACAGCTAAGCATGACAGGAGCCATGTGTCTGGGGTTCCAAAGCCTAGTGCCATCCTACCCCTTGCAGTACTCCAACCTCCTGACCACTCCCCTCTTCCCTACCCACCCATGTAATCCCAGCTAACAAGAATGCTTCCCTTCCTCTGCCTTTGTATTGTCTGTTTACGTTGTAAACTCTTTGAGGTAGGGATTGCCTTTTACTATGTACGCATGCTGTCTAGAACAATGGAGCCCCCGTCTCCTGTGGGGCCTCTAGGCACTACCAGACTACAAATAATAAATATTTGTCAAATTAGAGTTAATTTTAAAAGAATCAGAATAACAAATCACAGACACTAAAAATTAAACAAGAAAATGACTAATCAGCCCATATATTAACTAGTATTGGTATGGTACAAGAAAGTTGTTCACCTTAAGTGGATAGCCAAATATATTGTCTTATGTAGTTCCTTTTGTACACCTGGGTTTATATAACGTTCTCAAATTTTGCGCTTTCAGACGGAGTTGAGTATTTTCACGACTAATCGCCTGCATGCAACTCATGGATTCTAGGATTTGTCTTGATGAATCTTGAGTGGTAACTAGGTGACTTCGCCTTGGAGACATCCTTTATCATCCCATGCTTTGATGGCATTATCACGCTGTCTAGAGTGGCTCACAATCATGAGTGCCTACCTCAGGGCAGACTGTTAAAAGCAGGGCAGACACCCAAACTGGTGGTACGTTCTATAATTAGATTTCCCCAAGACAGTAACAAATATGAACTCCTAAAGTCTTACAATAATTTTATAATGGAGTCACAGACAGTCCCCTTAGATACTCCAGTGTGCCTTGCCACCCAGGCAAGATGGACTCTGTGATAAATGGTCATATATACACACACAAATCACAAATATTCCAGGTTACTCCCACTCCCAAGAGACCAGTTACGCACCCAGATTGAGTTGCATTCTAGATCTCACACCCAAGACAATGCTGGTAGCCAATTCTATAGTAAACTAACTAAAGGTTTACTAGCTAAGAAAAAGAAATAAAAATTATTGAGAAGTTAAAGCAGGTAAAAATATGTACAGGTGAGTCACAGTCTCTAATCCCAGATGGTAGCAGAGAGATAAATCTGCCAGTTTCCCAAAAGTCTCCCAGGGCTACCCAGAATAATTCTGGAGAATCTCCATCTTCTCATTCAGTTATTCTGTCTTATTAGAATCCAAACAGTCCAGAGATGAAGGATTTTCCTTTATATCCATATTTATAGCTATCACATAGCTTTTTCTTTGGTGGTGCTGAGAGACAGATGCTTTAGAGTCTTTGAACTCTGAATGCTCCACACTGACCACTCACTTTGAAGTGACCTTTCTGATAAGAGTACAGTAACTCCTCACTTAACATTGTAATTATGTTTCTGAAAAATGCAACTTTAAGTGAAACGATGTTAAACTAATCCAATTTTCCCATAAGATTTAATGTAAATGCGGGGGGGTTAGTTCCAAGGAATTTTTTTGGGGCAGACAAAAGGCATTATGTACTGTACTGTACTGTGGTTTGGAAGTGCCCTGGCTTACCCCACACAGGCACAGCCCGCTACAGGCAAGGATGCTAGGAAGGACCTTTGCAGCGGCAGCTTCCCCGGAGAAGAACAGGTGCCAACTTTGCCGGGGGATGTTCCAGGCCCGCCTCTTTCTGTCCCTGCTCCACTCCAGGCTCCACCTCCTCTCCGAAACAGCCGCATCCCCGCTCCTTCCCCCCCACCCCAAAGTCCTAAGCGCCGCCAAACAGCTGCGCTTCCCCGCTCCTGCCCCTCCCTCCTAGAAAGTCCTAAGCACCGCCAAACAGCTGTTTGGCGGCAGGGAAGCGCTGGGAGGGAGGGGGAGGAGACGGAGAAGAGGAACTTGTGCAATGCTCCCTTGTAAAGTCGCTGCTCTTCCACAGAATCTTACAAGCAATGGACAGAGCACGCAGCCAAACAACCTTATAAGGGAGCATTGAACAACTTTAAACGAGCATGTTCCCAAATTGAGCAGCGATGTAACTTTGAAACAACGTTAAGCGGGAGGACATTAAGTGAGGCGTTGCTGTACTTCATTTGTATTACATAAGGTTTCTTTCATACTTGGAGGGTTATTTTAGATATTGGGAGTCATATACCATGCAAAATATTAACAAGGTACAGATAAGTGAAAATAATGCATCAAAAATCTCATTAATTTTATGAAGTTTAAACGCCAAACACATTCACACACATGTAGCAGCCTCTTTTGATCTTCTGCTAACACACAAGTGGATTGGCCTGACTTCCAGCTATGAGTTTGTCAGTTTTCAACTGAACCAACTGTTTTGATCAGAGTGGACATCAGCATCACAGTCATTCATTAGGAAACAAAAATTTTCTAGGACAAAGTCTGCAGCGTGTTAGGGTTTTTAATGTTTTCTGCAATGACATTCTAAACAAGTTTTCTTTATCTCATTTTGTTTGAATCCAAATTGTGTTAGATGCTCAATTTAAATTGTTGTATACGCTTAAGAACCCTAACCTGTAAGCTTTAAACTAAAGGCTACATGGAGCTTTTTTTCAAAAGGAGCCAATATGCAACCATTTATACAGCTTTCATAGAAAGTATACAAGAGAGCTACTTAAAACATAATGCTATTTTAATCCATCTGTGCTTTTGTAATCCCTTCCATAAAACTTCCTTCTGTAGGAACCAATTGCACATAAGCTTTTAGCATTTAATTTACAGACTTCAGCATCTGGATACATCTCTCAACAAATCCAACTATTGGGGTCAGCAAAAAAACTGCAAAAATAAAAACCTTCCTGAAAAACTGCATGTACAGGAGGCCAAAGTATTTTATTCCATTTTTAGATGCTATATCTTCATGCTGATGTATCCAAGTTAACAGAGAGAATAATGTTACAAAATTTTGAGAGAAAATCTGCAACATTTCTTTGCTAAGAATTAAAAAACTCACTGATAACATCTTAACTTTTGACATTGATTTCAAAACAGGTCACACTTGTATTTTAAGTGGCCTATCTAGGAGCATTTTGGGACACTAAGACAATCAAATGAGGTAAAGTAATCTGTGTCCTGAATGAATCTAAGCACTCAACATTTACTGTGCTCCAAATGCTCAAAGGTGATATCTCAACCATAAAGCCAGATTTATATTATTAAAAAAAATGGTCTGAGACACAAACACCCCCCTTTCCCCCCGGAAATTGGAGAGAAAGTTCTTGACACAGACAACATGATTTAAGTCCAGCTGCTAGATTTGTAAACAGAGACCTTTCACACTTGAACAAATTTGAAAAAGAAAACGTGACCAGTGTCTGTAATGGTTTCATAAGTAAGCAGGAGTCACTTCTATTTAATCACCTGAGCACTTGGCCAAATCTCAGTTTGATCAGGCTTCTGGAAACATTTAGTTCACAATGGTCAAGTTTGGAGGTTTAACATAAGCAAAGTCACTTCCGGCCTAGTGTAGTTGCTGTTGTTTATTATTTGTATTACCATAGCACCGAGGAGTCCAAATCATGGACCAGGAGTCTATTGTTCTAGGTTCGATATTGCAGTCCTTAAGTTACGTTTCCCTCTTTCTTCCCTCTTCTCTAAATTCTGTTATTTAAGGCAACACTAACTTTGAAATATTAAATAGTTTGTCACCTAAGGTAAAAATGTTCAGAAATGACTTTAATATTTAAAAAAATGATTTAGGAGTGAAAGTGCCATTGACTTTCAAAAGTACTTATGTCACTTTTGAAAATGTGGTTTAGGCTCCTAAATCACTAGGTGTTTTTGAAAATGATGCCCTTATTAACAATGTATGCATACATTGCTGGGTTTTTGAAGACACAGTTGTTAACCTGAGTTGTTCTAGGCTAATTATATTGTGACTGATTACTGCCAGGTACAAGCTAAATTTAGCTGGTAGTACATAACTGTTGCTCTTATTTCATGCCTTACCTCATGTCTGTCCTGACATCAGGAATTTAATTTTGTTGTGACCTATTCAGTTATTGCAGCAGTTTCATTTGGAAGGTTTGGGGTTGGAGTAGGGTTACCATATGTCCAGGTTTTCCTGGACGTGACCTCTTTTGGGGTCTTCCAATTTCTGGCTGGGCAGATTTTTGAAATATGAACAAATGTCCATGATTTTTCCTTGCTCGTCCTTTTTCCAACATCGACTCTGGTAGAACTGCAATTTCTGGCATGCCCTAATAACAGCATGCACATTTAGTGGTTTGCTACCCTTACTTCTATGCTGCTGCTGCTGGTGGCAGCACTGCTTTCAGAGCTGGGCGGACCAAGAGTGGCGACTGCTGGCTGACTGCCCAGCTCTGAAGGCAGTGCCATTGCCAGCAGCAGTGCAGAAGTAAGGATGACATGGTATTGATTGTTGAGTCGCTGAAAGGGATCCTGCTTGTACATATCTGGTAAAGACTTTCATGGCTACTTGATGAGCAATCAACCACTCTGAGAAAGATACACTCCAGC